AGAAGCAAGGCAATAGCAGCTGTACCATACAAACAAAGGAGGAAATGCCTGCAGAACACTAAAAATGTGTTTAAAATAAATTTCAAAAGAAGGAATAAAAAAAAAAAAGAAGAAGAATGGTGAAATAGACATTGCTGCTCCAGCATTGACTAGATGTAAATTATCACTATAGCCAGTTTCCAAAAATGTAAGTTGGAAGGTCAGAGTCTCCAGACTTCCAGTAAAAATCAAAGATTTAACTGTTGATAATGAAACATATGACAGCAGTTGGGCAGAAAAGAACATATGAGGCCATCAGTAGATTAGCTGAATTGCTGAGGTTTACTTTCTGCTATGGTTATAAGAACTTACCACAAAAGAAAAGCCACAAAGTATCTTGTATTTCTCTCCCCTATACAATTGTTCTGAAATAATTAAGCAAAACTTTTAAGTAGAAAATAAACTAAATTTTATAGAAGAACTAGTCCCACAAAGAAAATGAGAGTATTATTAGTAAGAGGAAAATAACGAACCATCCATCCACAATGATGATCAAACCTAGCAACACATCTATTGCAAATGCTGCAATGTTTCGATCTAGCAGGTCTGGAGAAACAATATACTCCCATCATACATTATAAAACTAAAATTACACCAATAAAGATGGCACTAAGGTAGTAGACTTACTTTGGAATTTTACAAGTCGAGCATTCCTTCTCTGAGTATATGATATTGTCATAGGGATAGGCTAATATATATTGTGAAACATTCTCTGCCTTAATGGTCCCTGGATCAGAAAAGCTAGCCAATATAAAAAGAAGAATGCCAATTCCAACAGCCAACAAGCTTGTATACCTGCAACAATATAAAAAATAACAGTTAAAATAAAAGAGAACAATGTTGAAGGAATTGTATCACACCATGAGAGTAAGTAAACAGGCTCCTATCCACTTACTTATGAACTTCACTTAGATAATACCCAGGAAGATAGCCAAAAGATGACTTTATAATAATGTAATAAGTTCCTCCTATAATTGCCAAGTATATAAACTGCAATAGAAGGTGGAAGTTAGACAACAGAATGATATGTGCAGTTTGGCTTGTTGGATTAATGAACTAAGGATAATACCCATGAAAAAGTATCATACAACTACTACTCATTGCCATGTAAAAGAAGTTGCAAAACCGACATCAGCCAGGTCTTGTAGAATAACACTAACAACATGAGAAATGTGACCGGGTGTGTCATAATTTTGTAAAAGGAACAAATCTTACAAAGTGGACTGAGGGTCCAAAACTTGTTTCAGCTTATCTCTCTTCAACTTTCAAGTACAACAGTTGCTTTTGAACTTAACAAATTATGAGGCAGATTCATTTCATTAAGGAAAACTTCTCAATCATTTCCCAATCTCTTCTCACTCATCCCAAAATCCCATTATGGTTTTGACATTCATTTCATCTCATTTCTTGGTGGCTCAACCTGAAATTTTCCTCATTTTCTGAATGTTCAAAGTTCAAACTAAATATAAAGCTCGTGGGTTTTTACAAGGCTAAGTCAGCTTGTCCTGTGAAGGTTCAACATGATAGATAACATATATGGTAAGAGCAACTAGTGAATCATTGAATTCATACATTTCAATCTACAAAAGTGGAGAACTTAGAAACCACCGGCCCTCAATTCTCCTCATTCCTTAAAACAAAAAGGACTTCTAATCAACTCAAGTGATCAATCGCAAATACCCAAGAAAAATAGAATTACTTCATAGAATCAATATTTAAGCTAGAGAATTAAATGGGAATTGATCAATATTGTCAAATTATAGTTCAATGATCAAATTTCATGCCAGAAGCCAATGCAGTGCAATTAAAAAACTGCTTAAATTCAATAAAACGCAATGAAACAAACAACACGATGAGCTTATTTCAAAGAACACTATCTACATATGCCATCAGAACATCTATGCATCCAAAGTTTCCAAACAAAGATCCTAATTCAAAGCCACAAATAACAAATTACAGAACAACTCCCCATGCCAATTATCCAAAGAGAACGGATTTGAATTATACCTGCAAGATGGGGTTAGGCCGATCACAACAAAAATACTCAACGAAAAGAACCGCATTCGTGCCCCTGTTCCCAAACACTGCCCCAACAAAGCGGCTGCAAAGAATCAAAAGAAGAAAGACAAACCATTGAAATCAGTCCCAGAAGAAATCAGACAAAAGCAAACAGAAAATGGGAGGTGAGAGAGAGAGGGAGTACAGGAAGTATTGGTAGGCCCCAAAGGTGAGGAAGCGATGGATGCTGCTGATGGGTGTTCCTTCGAAGATGGGCCACTGGCCGCAGAGGAAGGACACCACCACTAGCAGTGTCGCCAGGCCGTGGCATAACAGTACCCACTGTATCGCCATTTCGGAGAGGAAAAGGAGGGAAAAAGACGGATGCTTTCTTAGGAAGAAGAAAAGGGGGTGTTTGTTTGGTTAGAATTTATGGGAATTGTGTTGAATTTACAGGGGAGAATGGAGACGATGAAATATGGGGCAGTCTGAGTTGTTATTTTGACCTGAGAAAAGTACAACGATCTACATTTTGTGAAGAAGAAAGTAAACTTGCCCAGAACATGGGCGCGGTTATTGCCATAATAACAAAAAAAAAAAAAACTGTAAAATATTAGTATTTTTAAAAATATTGGTTTTATTTAATTTGATAAATAAAAATAATTAATAATTATAATTCTTAATTAATAGAGTAATTGATAAAATAATTAAATATTTATCATTCGTTCTAATTAAATTTAGTTATTTTAGTTTGATTTTTAAATAAAATTTGATTAAAATAATT